CCATAAAGAAACGTTTGACAAATTGAATCGGTCGGACCTTTTAACATTTCAACCCCACCAAAATTACGGTCACTTTTAGGGACTCTATCGATCCGTTTGATTTTTTCGAAAGCAAAAACCGAAATGCGGCATTTTATCCTGTATAACTCTATATTTATTTATGTATACCTATAGAAGGTGATTTGGAGCACCACGGGGTGCCTTGGTATCCCGTCGTTCACCCATTGACCTCTGTTTTCTCAACACCCTCATTAGAGGAAAATAATTACAAAATCCTAATTACCACAGATATATTACTGAGGAGAAAATGCATTTGTTTTCGTAACTCCACGCTATACAGGCACGGTTTAATAACTTAAAGCCTCCAACAAAACGATTGGAGCTCTGTTTAAATTTTGATAATGGGAGGCACAGTGCACTGGTGGCATTGTTCATTGAAATATGAAAAGTAAACACAAGTGATATGGACGTTGGTTATATTAGTTGAGTTTTCAAAGAGTGGTATCGAGTTACGAGGGTTGGATGGAGGAGCAAATGCCGGGTGGGCTCGAGGCTTGACATGTTGCCAGGTACTCTATGTGCATTTCATTTTATTAATCGTAATTTAATGCACCATAAAAAAGAACGAACTGTATCGTTTTTAATGCCCGCATATAAAAACCAGATTGCTCAGTTTCCACAAACATACTGCTTTCCTGTCTCTGTGTTGAAGTTTAAATTATTTTAAATAATTACATTACAATTAGATGTAATAAAGAAGAAGTCTGTGTAATCGAAAAAAATTAATAATTATTAGGATCACAATGTAAAAAATATCTAGGTATGACTTACAGATCCTTAAAATGAAATGTCGTCCCTGAATATTAATTGATATCTTATAGAGATAGTTCTAAAGGAAAACCCAATGATGAAGTAGTATTTAATACTTTCATAATAAAGAAAAAAAAATATTTTTTGGCCTATTTTCTTGCTATTTCGTTTGAAATTGATTTAATATACTTTTTTCTACTCCCACCTTTAAAACGCCCTATCGTACATGTTTCCATGACACTAAGTGACCTTTTAAATACGCATTGGCAAGTTGTGGCTTTACGGCGCTTTAGTCACGGGCTGAAGTTAGTTGACAGTTGTCAAATGTCATACAATCGTTAAAATAAATTGCTCTTCTTGTAAAATAATGCTAAATGTAAAAATTATTTTATTATCTCAATAAAAAATACAAAAGTATTAAATAGTTTCGCCAATATTTGAAAAGTTTATATAAACATTGTACTGACCTTTTAATTTCGCCGGCAGTAAACTATATCTTAAATTCGGGCACAAACATTTTCTTTACTTTCACTGTGAAAAAATGTCAATTTTCAAGAAATACATTTTGATTTATAACCTTTATAATCTGTGTTTGGCGGTGACACACAGATTTCCCTATTGTTTCATAGATGGCGCTATATACAAATTTTTGATTTAAATCATTTTAAGATAATAATATGTATATGCATATTTTGTACAATAGTTGAAACATTCCCACAAAAATGCATTTTATACTATAAATTTAATTTTAAAAAATAATTTGACAAAATTTTAAATTTTAGACTTGTACTGTTCTCAACCTTACCGATTCAATTATTAAAATTAATAGAATTTCCTTTTGTTAAAAAGTTGGTTAGAAAATAACCATTTTTAAATGTAATACAATATAAGTTAATATAACGTTTTTTAACTAAGATTTACTTAGATTTTGGTTAATTAACTTAGGGTGCTAGTTATTTAACCAGTTGTGCTAATTGGGATATTTTGTTAATCAAATATTTAAACTGAAGATTATTGGTAAAAAATCATGTTTTTAACGAAAAAAAAATGTTTTTTTAGGCAAAATTTGACAATTTTTAAAATGAAAAATTGAAAATGTCTGTGAAATATTGCGGTACAATTAGAAGATATTTAGTATGAGTTATAGAGATATTAGAAACAATTATCTCGAATTGTGTTTGTGGTTTGTGGAGTTAATAGCGGGGCACTTAAGCGTTCCTTAAGCTGTTAGAAAGAGCTGAAATGATAGCAATTCGACTAATTCCTAATAAATAGGCGTAGTAAATCGTTTCGGGAATGACATGCACCTTTTTTTCTGTACGCGGCGGACCCACCTCGAGGCGATCGGCCGGCCTGGGTCGGTATAATTTCGTACCACAAACCAATTTACAATTATCTATACGCTTATGCTCAGTTACGAAGACTTTTGATTATAGCAATTTCGGAATAATTTGGCCTGTTATTATTTCGAATTGGTTAAATTGTTGTTTATAAATTTATCGTTTAACACTACGATTCGAGCCATCTTTTCAGTCACATTTTTATCGTGGCCAGGTAGATGGCGAATGTGGCCTCGGGTATGTTGATTATTCCATCTTATTTATCAATTAGATGGATAAATTCATGCTATCGACTTCGGTATAATTTCATTTATTAAACGTAACACATTCGTACGATATTTATAGAAATGTTTCGTGCTTTCGAGCAATTAATTGCCTCGAAAAAAACTCATATATTTTCCCTCATTCGCGGCGCTTTTTGCCTGGCAAATCTGATTACAAATCAAATGTACACATGACGTCAAAAAGAACCACTTTCCGTGTTCCATAACTTTCTGCAATTCTTATTACTATTACACAGTGACGTGCAACTGCATTTTTATAGTTTCAATTATTTTTAAGAAAGTACAGTTAAAAATTTATTAAATTTATGTTAAAAATAATACGTGTTAAATAAAAAATGTAAAAATTTACGGTCGCTCAAGATTTTTTAAATTTTCAAAATCGTCAAATATTGAATTTTTGTTTTATTTTAATTTTTTTTCTCGTCTCGACATTATTTTTTTTGGTTGAAAATAATATAAATTCTGTAAATTTCAAATCAATATTTTGATTTCTAAAGGTCGCTAAAAGTTCGTTGATATTTATATTCAGAGGTCGCTTGGAAACATTCAAAATACAAAAACATACAGCGACCTTTAGAAATCAAAATATCGATTTGAAATTTTCAGAATCATTATTATTTTTAAATTAAAAAATAATATCGGAACGAAAAAAAAAAATTAAAATAAAAAAAGTACAATTTTTGACGATTTCGGAAATTTTTAAAAATCTTGATTGACCCCTAAAAATTTTTTAATGGAGCTGATCTTTTGACAGGGCTCTTGAAACATGACAAACCAACATATTTTCACAAGAGAGGAGAAAAAAAATATTCTTTTTTTTTATGTTACTTGATAGAAAAATTATAATAATTAAAATATAAATTTCAAAAAATTTAACCAACATTAATGTGTTAAAAAATCCTACACAAATAAGAATGTTAAATAATAATTTTATTGTACATTGTAGAATAATAATATAGTTAATGTTACCAGTAAATTATGTTAATTTCAATATAATGCATTAGTTTAAATAACTCCTAAACAAGTGTTAATCTAAATCAAAAATATTTTTTAAATATTTGAATACACTTTTTTTTGTAAAATAAATAAAATATAAATAAATTTAACATATTTAATTATGTTAAAGTTGTACAGATTTTAAATCATATTAATTATTAATTTAGGATAAAAATAAAAATGACAACACGATTTTTTAAATTAACTATGTACACAGAAAAAACGCTAGCATATATCATGCTATAGCATGAATGCGTGAGCCATTAAACCAATGGGATCTTGTAATCCGTATTCCTGAATAACAGTTCCTATAATACCAATAGGTAGTTAGCACTTGGTTTATAATCGTTTACTGTTTTTAAATTAACAACAAAAGTTATCGCTCCTAAATCTATTGATATTTATATTGATATTTATTTCATTTTATGTTAGAATGTTATTGCATTAAATACTAATTTGATTTATTTAATAAAGTTACCATAGTAATAGTATACATATACATTTAACGCAATAAATTCTTTGACATTTAGGCAAAATGTTTCCCTATTTTGGTTTAATAGTAATTAATTGACCAAATATCAATTTAGATTGCTTCAATTTTAATGGATTCAATGACAGCGCTGTCCTTAGTAGTACGTTTGATTTTTTTATGTGTAGTTATGAAAAAAGTAACATAAGTATATTAATTTATGTTTTGTTAAAAATTAACATAAGTAATAAAAATCAAAAAACTACAAAATTTGAGTGGACTTTCTGGAACACAAGAAATATGTTAAATATACATACATATAAATTTTTTACTGTGTAAGACACCTGAATTCATCATAATATTCACTCAAAAAAGCCGCTTATATTTTACTACGGCGATTATTGCACAAAATGTCGTTTAAAATAATAATTGTTACTGATATATCGCATTGATAATTTCCATATCCGGCCGAATTATTAAGTCGATTTTGCAACATGTTTTTATGACCTTAATTATTCGCACAAACGGTTAAAATGTTTGTCAAGTATTATCACTAAAAATAAAAATAAATAGTTTTTTAGTTACTTAAGGCGAGATAATTGGAACTGTAGTATTTTTTTCCATCCACATAAATATATTTTTAAGTTACCGATATATATTTTAATGTTTTAAAAAACGAATCTGCTTTGATATATTTTTTTGTTATTGTAATGGTTTAGTAGGTCTATCGGCCATTTTAAAACTTGATAATATTAAAAATTTATTAAATCATAGCATAAAACATTTCAATGTTTTATTCCTCCGTCATGTTATAAACCCCGGGCAATTATCCGCCATGTATAAATATTTATAAATCCCACATAATTGTACACTATTAACTAATACTAGCAACAATCAACAAAATGATTCCAGCAACACAGATTAAATAAATTATTTCCCCCTCTTATTATTATTATTATTATTATTAAATGTTCCATTATTTAATATTCAAATTGAATATTATTCAGCTATGTTAACGCTATCTCACTGAACATCAAGAACGAATTATTTCTTTTCACACATTATACAGAAACTCTATGTAAAGAAAACTAAAAAACTTACCGCCCATGTGTCCGTTTTCGTATGGATATTCTCCGTTATCCATGCGTTGTTTTTTGAGTTGTTGATGCTGTAAATGCGACGCTGCCAAACTTAGCCCAACCGGTGCTCTCTTCGGCGGTCGACCGGGCCTGGAACTGCAAAATAGTAGAGAATTACCGTTGTAAAAAACAAAATGTTACGTATTTTTTTGGAAAGGTTTTTTCAGCTTCCGAATTTTGTTTCTAGCTCAACTAATAAGGTAGATATGGTGGGTTTTATAGTTTGTATCCGTAGATACCAGTTATAAAAGTGTTAGTTACCTTATTATTTATGGAAATACGAGTAGAAAGAAAATTTGTAATGCATGTAAGTTTATAATATCCTATCAAATATAGTCTAACATTAGCTAAAATGGAGATTGCGATTTTTTACATTACTAAACATATTATGTTTCAAATATATTTTACCAGATTTTGAATTTTATTTCTAGCTCTTCTAATAACTAGATATATGCAATTTTATAATTATATCCATGGATACAAAATATAAAAGTTTTAATAACTTTGTTATTAGGAAAGATAGACAAAAAAATCAAAGTTTGTTTATAAGCAACGATTTTTTTAATTGCAACCGTTACTGTACTTGTTTTGAGCCCCCTTAACTTTACAGAATCTTTATATTTGGTTTTTGAAGAGGTGAATGTTTTGCTAGGGAAAAAATAACTTTTTGAGGCTGCATTTTAGAATGTAAATTTGGAATTTGATAAATCATATGGGTAACTGAAAATTTTAAGATTAAAAGTTTAATAATATTCTATCAAATATAACCTTGAATTAGATAAAATGGATATGGAAATTTTTTGTGGAAAAAAACAACAATACGTTTGATAAATACCAGATTTTAAATTTTATTTCTAGCTCTTCTAATTACGTGGATATATGCGGTTTTATAGTTATATTCGTGGATACTAAACATAAAATTATTCATAATTTTGTTATTAGGAGAGATAGAAAAAAAATCAGTTCGAAAGCTACATTTTTTATTGCTACACTAACTGTACTTGGTTTAAGCTCCTTATATTATATTATATTATAATTTTACAAATCTACTACTAATAACGTAGATATATACAATTTAATAATTATATCTATGGATACAAAACATAAAAGTATACATAACTTTGTTATTAAGAGAGATAGAAAAAGTTTGTTTATAAGCCAAGATTTTTTTTAGTTGCTTCAGTAACTGTACTTTTTTAGTCCCCTTAACTTTACAAAATGTATATATTTTGTTTTTGAAGAGGTGGATGTTTTGCTAGGGAAAAAATAACTTATTGAGGCGGCATTTTAGAATGTAAAATTGGGATTTGATGAATCATATGGGTAACTGATCACTTTGGGAACAGTTTAAGAATAAACCTAGGTGATTAAAGGGTATATTAAGACGCAAATGCCCCGATCAATCAAACCGTAAGCTCGACTTTTAAAAAGTATCGACGAGGGTGATGAAAATTAACAATTACCTCTGTTTAAACATTGAACTTGCATTAGCATAAAAAGTGGTTAATCTTAAAAATAACTGCAATCGATCATATGGCAGTCAAAAATTCACAATGGCTCCCGTTTTTGGCACCTGGACTGTTTAATATCATTAAAGGCACCCCGTAGTGTGCGCTGGGGGAAACAAAAACATTTGCAAATTAATGTTTTACCAATCGGGCAACCATAGAAGAAGTAATATTTAGCAGATGTCGGATGTATTAAACTCCGCGTACAACTATTCAAATTAAAAGTTTCGGATATTAAATCTGTTTTTTCCCGTGAAATATAGCTGATATTAAAAATCAAATAACAAGAGGAAGCGCACAAACAAACGTGGACTTCACCTGCGTTCCCAAAAATAATACTCAAAGTTTTCCGTTTTAATATGTCTGAAATTAAATCTTTCAGTAGGAAATATTAATAAAAATCCACTTTTAAGGGTGGTTCAAATTAATCGGTAGCAAGTCTAGACAGTTAAAATCATATCTAAGAAAAACACGTGTGCTACTTAATTCAAGTGATGGTTTTAAAAACTGTATCTTTTCGGGAGGGTGGCTTATGACATATACAGTAAACAGACCTCAAAGATAAAAAGCCCTTATTTATGTAGTAATGTACGAGGTTATATTGATAAGTTTTTAGAATTTTCACAAAATAACGCTACAATTACACTGAGAAAAATAATGTGCACTAATGAATTGACTTGATCAGTATATCAACACTTGTTTCTCCTAACCAAAGAATACCTTTTTGAGTTTACAGAATGTTTAGACTGATTCAGGTTTTTTTCTAATATCGATTTTAAGGTTTTATTAATTTTGGAACCCGAAAAACCGTTATTTATTAATTTAAACCAATTAACTGTTAGGAAATTGTTGTCATAACAATAAATTAAAAAGAAATAATGAAAAATAAAACAAAAATTAAAAATGGAAATGGAAAATCGTTATAGAGGAAAGAGGTTTGATTCGATGTTGGCAGATTTTTGTTGGTCTATGGCAATGGAAATTTTGGCATAAAATTATAAATAAAATTTTTATGTTTATTCATTCTATTTGTTAAAAAGAATATGTTTTTAATAATTAATATAATAATAATAATTACCACAATTATTATTATGGTAGAAGCGAAAGAACTAAGAAATTGCACTACAACATTAAATCCAAAAATAATGCATTTTATTGTTCTCATTATTTTTTTATTTAATTATTTTTTTCTTTATGTAATTGTTATTACTTTATAAAACAATATACAAAACCAATAATTATCTTTTATGTACTAATTATTTATTATTTTACGATATTTCGGGATCCAGAATTACTAAAACTTTAAATTGATATTTAAAAAAAACCAGAATCAATCTAAACATTCTGTAAACGCTTTGATTCATGATTTTGATTGTAGAAACCGAAAATACTTTCAGAACCCCATCATCTTAATTTTTTTCCGAAAATGTTACACAGTGTAATTCAACCGTTTGGGTGCAATTTTACAGTGAAAAAACTTGTAAGTGTGATTTTTTTAATATATTGTTTTCTTTTACAATATAGAATGCCTCCAAATGTTTAATATTATTGTTTTGTAATAATTGAAGACGAAGCTAAGTTTATAGTAATATTTTTTCGCGTTACCATGCTTGTGACATGATTATCACCTACATGTAGGTACATGTTTAAATATAGCATTTATAATAATAAACTAAGTGTGTAATATGAATAAACATGTTAAGTTAAGTTAAGCTGTAGATGCAGATTTTGACAAAAAAAACAACCATTCTATTCTAATTAATATGCCCTTACACATATCGACTTTAATAATTAATTAAAGATTTTTTTAGGGTTTCTTTTTGGGGAAACAAACAAAACAAAGAAAAACATTGGTATGCGGCTCGATGTTGTTATACAGCAAAACACATTTCGTCGGTAAATGAAAGACTAATATTTTTTTTAGCAAAACATTCTCACACAATCACGTGCACGACTCAAACTCAAAAAACAAGACGGCCATTAAAAAAACAACGCGTAAAAGATGCGGTAATACTCCCCTTAATAACGAACGAAAAAATAAAGCATTATCGTTGCCATAGCGACCACATATTCGATTGTCAAGGTTATCGAATTAAAACGAATTTGGTTGTTAATTGTTTCGAAATGCGCGTTTTACGAATGATCGTACTGTTTAATGGGTTCGCCGCTGGGCATTTTACACCGGATTGGTTTAGTAATAATTACTTTCCAGCATTTCATTCCGACCCAAAATTAGCGATATGATTGAATTGCAAGTGAAACAATTATCTATATAGGCGTTTAAGTATTTATACGTGTTGTTTTTTGATTGAAATGGGTGCAGGGTATTGTCCGTATCTAAAAATATACCCGACGCAACGAAATTAGGGAGCTGTTAACTTTTTCCGTTAAAAAAACTGAAGTATAATGGCGTGGAGCGGTCAATCATATGAAACACTATAATTAACTTTTTTTTTCGGTTTTGCATGCCAAATTTTCATTCTACTTTCATAGAAAGAGAGTAGATCGATTTTAATATTTTGAGTGCCTCAGGGATCCACTATGGTACCACTATCGCTTAAAATTAATGAAAATAAATATGCCAACCACCGCGTCGAATAAAACTTTATTTTATCATATTGCATTTCAGTTCAAATAGAAATATAGCTCGTGCGATTGATCTCTTTTATTTGCCGAAAGACACAATACATTAAACGGTATCCGGCGAGGTATATCAGATATCTAGCGGTCATAGACAAATGGACCCTCCCGTGATTTATCGCCTTCATTTCCCAATGTTTATTACGAACCTGTCAACTACGCATTTCGCCCCGGCCTATCAACTCAATTATGCTCCATATTTCCAGTAATGGAGATTTATAATCGTTTTTTACTCCAACACAATCAAAATACCCGTCTGGTCCTTAAAATAATAATCTTGAATGTAAATTTCGACATGATAATTTAAGACAGTTGTGTATTCTTAAGGATCTTAAGAATGAACTTAAGCTAGATATAACTGTCTTAAGAACGCAAAATAAAGCTGGAAAAATTGTCAACCTTAACTAGCTATAACTGCCTTAAAATTGTAAGATTAAGTTCTTTTAGCTTGTTGACATCTTAATGACAGTAATATTTAGATGGTCGACATCCTTAAGATAGTTAAATTAAGCTTGTGTATTCTAAAGAATGTCAACAAGCTAGATATAACTGTCTTAAGAATGTAAACTTAAGCTAGAAATTAACAACCATATTAACAGTCATATTTAGATGGTCGACATCCTTAAGACAGTTAAATTAAGCTTGTGTATTCTAAAGAATGTCAACAAGCTAGATATAACTGTCTTAAGAATGTAAACTTAAGCTTGAAATAACTGCCTTGAGAATGTGAACTTAAGCAAGATAATTTATTTTAAGAATGTCAACCTTAGCTATATATAACTGTCTTAAAAATGTGAACTTAAGTTTTTGTAGCTTGTCAACATCCATAGAACAGTAATATTTAAATAGTTTGCTGCATATATAGTGGCTAAGGGTAGCGTGTTTTACGTGTGCTAACCCACTACATGGCTACCCGGTACTGATAAGATCCACAAGACCGAAACAAAA